CCTCCTCCTCCGCCCTCCGCCCTTCGCCCTCCTCCCTCCTCCCTCCTCCGTCCTCCGTCCTCTGTCCTCCGTCCTCCGTCCTCCCTCCTTCCTTCCTCCTCCTTTCTCCCTCCTCCGTCGTCCTGTTCCTCCCTCCTCCTGTTCCTCCCTTCAACTGCACAAGCGCTGGGGGGAGGAGCAGCGCAAAGCGTTGGATGGTGGGAGGAGCAGCGCAAATCGCTGGATAGTGCCAAACCATGAAAAACATGAACAACGCAAGCGCTGGCAGCGCAAACCGCTGGAGACATAACAAACAATACAACGCTATGGGTGGCAGACATAACGCAATTGTTTCTTCTAGAAAATAGAAGCTCTAGAACAACTATGTTCGCAACGCGTTGTTCTTACACAAAAATGATTGGCGAAGCCAAGCATTATCTTCGACGTATCTTCTACATCTTCAACCACTCCAAAACCTATATTCGTATCTTCAGCCGCTGTAGAACCGCTTCAAAAACCCCAACCCTATCTTCCGTATCTTTCCACATCTTCAACCGTTGAAGATATGGAAGATCTGGCGGATCAACGTAAGCTCTGGAAGACTAACTTAATAGGTGTGATGCCAACTTACGATCACCTACCGGAACCTCACCTTATCTCTCATATCTTTTTTGACGAGATCAGTAGGACCCCATGCAGAGGCAAGCTCTGAGTTGGGAACGTACATGCATCCATCCATCCATGAATGCATGCCAGCATGCATGCGTGCATGCATGTATACACATACATACACACATACGCACATACATACATACTTACATACATACATGCATGCATGCATACATACATACATACACACATACACACATACATACATACATACATACATACATGCATGCATGCATGCACACATACATACAAACACAAATGTATACACGCATACAATCAGACATACACACATACAGACATACATGCATACATACATACACACATACATACATACATGCGTGCAGGCATCCATCCATCCATACACACATACAAACAGACATACACATACAAACAAACACATACATACATACATGCATGCATGCATACATACATACATACATATGCACAAATATGTATATCTATAGCTGTATATAGAATATACATGCAGAGTGATAACGAAACACAGCGAGAGAGAGAGAGAGAGAGAGAGATAACGCCGCGAGCTTGGACGAGTTGTTACGTGCTGCGTTTGGAGGAGGATTCCAAGGTCTGGGTGCCTTTGTGGCCACGGCTGGGCGCAGCTCGAACAATTTAACATGGTGGGCCCTGTGTGGTGTCCAGGGGTGCGGGTACATGTTGAGTGGATTTCGGACGAAGCAGGGTTCATTTACCTGGCGAAGAACCCAACTTTTTTTAACAGAACGGCGACTATACAAGGGACCGCTCAATCCACAAGAACACATTGAAGGTCCTGCTGTGTCCTTGCCAATGTTGCCGCATGCGGCCAGGTCGCGCACGCAGTCCCCCAATCACGCGTCCAATTTCACACATCAAATCGCAAATGGGACGACGACGGCGAACGCGACGCGGAGCAGAACGGGGCCAGGGAGAGGAGGACATATATTTTGCGGGACCCATGGTGGACGCCATGCGAGGGGGACGCCATGCGATCAGGCCCACTGGGGCCATGGGTGCAGCTCCCAATATGGGCACGAAACATATGGGGGGGGAGGGCGAAATGGGCGAGCGTGGGAGGGGTGTGCTGAAATGTGCGGTGGGGCGCCATGCGAGCACGCCCACTTTGGGCCAGATGTGCAGCTCCATGTGGGGCACGAAACACGTGAGGGGTGTGCCGGACGCCATGCGAGCACGCTCACTGGGGCCATATGTGCAGCCCCCAGTGGGACACGACACGTGCGAGTGGTGTGCCGAAAAATGGGCGGGTGTACGCCATGCGAGCGCGCCCGCTGGGGCCAAATGGGCTTGGACCGCGTGAGGGGTGTGCCGAAATGGGCGGGGGGACGCCATGCAAGCACGCCAAGTTCGGCCCTAGGTGCAGCCCCCAGTGGGGCACGAAATGAGTAAGGGGTGCGGCGAAATGGGAGGGGGTACGCCATGCGAGCGCGCCCACTGGGGCCAAAGGTGCGTGCAGCCCCCTTTGGGGCTTGAAACGTGTGAGGGGTGTGCCGAAAAATGAGCGGGGGGACGCCATGCGAGCACGCCCACGGGGCCATATGTGCAGCCCCCTGCAGGGCGCGAAACGTGTGAAGGGTGTGCCGAAATGGGCGGGGGGGGGGGCTATGTGAGCACGCCCGCCCGCTGTGGCCATGAGTGGAGCTCCTTGTTGTTATTGTTGTGGAAGAGGAGGAGGAGTAGGAGGAGGAGGATAAGGAGGAGCAGGTAAGAGGTAGGAGGTAGGAAATAGGAGGGAGGGAGGATGAGGAGGATGAGAAGGAGGGGACACGCGGCGCTGCGGATTCAACGTAGGAACCAACACAGAGGAGGGTGGGGAAATGGCATGGGAGGTGTCCAGGGATACATTTTGAATGGATTTCGGGCGAACCAGGATTAAGATCCATGACGCGTCGTTGTGATTTTGCGCTCTGCGCTAATTGTGGCACGCTGACGAACGGAAGAACTGTGTGTAAAATGCTCGAAGGTTTCCTGAGGCGATCCAGAGGACTCCCAAGAGACGACACGAGTGCACCAAGAGAGCCACGGAAGGCTTCCAGAAGGCCCCCAAGATCCTTGAAGAGACCCAAGACCTGACGGTGGCCTCAAGATGCTCAAGATAGCCCCAGAGCTCCCCAATACCCTTCTAGGAGGCTTGCACGGAGCCCCTGCGAGGCCTCACAAATAATGGGAAACATCAGCTTCTGCATTGTTTGCTTCAGCGATTGGTTTTCCTATGGTGACGCGCTGGTCAGGCTCCAGAGGCCCCTGTAAGCCTTGATAAAGCGCTCGCGCGGCTTTCATATGCTTCCGATCTGACCCCCAAGCGGGCACCTCAAAGCCCACGCAAAATCTCCAGGAAAGGAGGAGGACGACGGCTACGACGACGAAGACAACAGCGACCGACCACCACAACGACAACGACCACGTCTGCAGTGACCACGACGATCGCGACGACCATGACCACCGCGGCGACCACGACCAAGACCACGACCGGACCACGAACTTAACCACGCACACGACCACAGCGACGACCGTGACCACGACCACAACCAGAGCGTCGACCATGACCATGACCACTACCGCGACGACCTCGATTGGCAAGTCTCAAGGGTTGTGCGTAGACGGCTCCAAGAGGAAGTCGCGGCCCTCAACAGGCCCACAAGGTAGAGGTAGGGGGCGATCTCCACCCCTTGGACGCTCCGTGCCCCAGTGTTGGGATGTTCGGACCGCCTCCAGCGACTACCTTGTGGGCCTGCCGAGGGCCGCCAGGACTTCTCCCGGCGCCGCCCGCGTGCACCCCTGAAGATTTTGCCAGCGACGACCGCTGCGCCACCGAGGCCAGAGCCCCGCCAGCAGCTGGAGAGCCCCCCGCGCTGGTCCCCATCGGGCTCCTCTTCTTCCTCGGAGGCGCCGTCGGAGAACCACCGGCGCAGGAGCGCCGGCGCCGCGCTGCCTTGAGGGCCGCGGGGGGGCCTGCCTATCGATCTCCAGAGCGGCTGCTGCTGAGGGGTTCACGGGCGAACTTCGCAGGAGGAGCAGAGACCCCCGGCACCCAGAACCCATCGGAGGGGGCCCCCCCTGGGCGGTGGCACTCCTGAGCGTCTTCCAGGACCTGCTTTTCATCTGATAGCTAGGGTTGTCCCCAGCAGGCCGATCCGACTTGATGTTTTTCCAGCACCGGTTTTCCGCGCTGTCTTGGACGCGCCACTCGTGTTCGGAAAAACCATGCGGAGGGCCAGCTTGGGCTGCAGTGGTAGTAGCTTGAAGTTCTCGTCGTAATCGCAGTGGAGGTCGGGGTAGTAGTAACAGCAGTTCAGCATAGTAGAGTTGATAGTATTCCACAGCGCGATCATTCCCACCCACCCACACGTCCGCTCATAAAGCTTGAAATCCATCGTAACCCTTCGCATCATAATCCTCCATCTCTCTACCAGAGACGATGGCTGAATTGACTGCGCGCGTGCATGCGTCGAGTGCTACTGCCAGTCGACGCATCAAGGCCGCGCAAGCGGATTAGCACCAACGTCTGGCGATCATGAACGCCGGCAGCTATGATCGACGATATCTTTTTTGGCTCGACAAGCGACGGTGCCACGCGTCTGCTGCTTTGGCGGCGTCGTCTGCCGTCGCTAGCAGCGCGTTGTGTGTGTGTGTGTGTGTGTGCGTGTGTGTACCTCCTTCCTCCCTCCCCGCCTCCGTCCTGGGCTCCCCAGCTCCCTATCGACCTTCAGCATGCAACTGGTCACGACCACTGCAGCGCCCAGGAAACTCGTGGGCTCACCCGGCTTCGCGCTGGCTCCCCGCTGAGCCCCATCACCGACGCCGCCATGACGCAAACAAGAGAAGATGGGATCATTACGTCGAGAATTCTAGAGCCTCGGGCCTAGAACATTACGTCGAGAACTCTAGAATTCTAGAGAACTCTAGAATTCTAGGCTCTAGGGGACATGAAGTTGAGAATTGCGGATTTAACCTGACCTGAGGTTGTAGGGCCGAGGCCCTGCCGCGCCGCCCTGTCCAGGGCTAGAATGCACCTAGATCCGGTGGCCGCGCTCGCTCGCTCGCCGCTCCCTGGCCCCCCTCCCTTCCCTGTCGGTGTCTCGCCTTGCCCGGTCTGGTGCAGCGCCTCCCCCCTTCCCCTCGGCTTCCCCTCCCCCCGTTGGTCGGCCCGCTGTCCCTCGTGCCCTGTCTGTCTCCCCTCCCCCTTCCACCCGTCGCTCCTCGCCTCTCGCGTCTCTCTCTTCGATTGGCTCGCTGGCCCCTGGTCGCTCGAGTTAGGCCGGCCGGTGTTCGGCCTGCCTTGCTCCGTTCCCTGGTGCTCCACTCCCTCTTAGCCCGGCATTCGTTTGCATCGCCAGGCGAGCGACTTTGAGCTCTCGTGCCGCTTCGCGCCTCAGAAGCGTGGGACCACGAAGTGTGTGTGTGTGTGTGTGTGGACGCCCCATCCGTGTAACAGTTGAGACGCTTAATGCGAGTGGGCTCTGCGCTGATCTGAGAGCCACATGAAGAAAGCGACCCTCCTTCATCCGTGTAGCTGTTGACTGTTGGCATATATGCGACCAGCGTTAAGTGCGTCTTCGGATGATCCTAGGCGGAGTCCAAAACAAAAACTGCGACCAGCGTGCTCGACGAAAGGCGAGAGCCAGATGTTGGACGCGACCCGTGCTCTATCTGTGCAGCTTTTGACATGCATTGTGAAGGCCTTGCGGCCGGTGCCGCCGATCCTGAAGGCGGGACCTCCACAGGGACCCCGCTGGCGCTACCCCCCGAGACCCACGGGACCCCAGGAGGGGCGGTAGTTTGACCCGGGACCACCTCCCCACCATGCAGGACTTCTCCCGGGACCCCCCGCTGGGGACCCCCTGGCGGGGGTAGTCCCCTCGCCCTCCTGTCCACAAGGGGGACCCATTCCCCTGGGACCCACAAGCGCCCCAGGGGGGGGCGGCGTCCCGACCCAGGACCCCTCCCGCCCTACCCCTCCCCCCTCCCGCCCCCTTTTCCTTGTACCCTATTAGTGAACCCCTCCTGCGACTGGCAGCCAACCAGGACCAATGAGGATCCCCCCGCCATCCGTATCAAGAAACAATGTGAAGTCCACTTTGGGGCAAATTTTTGGGTGATGATCGGGGGGGCCGCGAGCACTTTGCTTGTGTGTGCAAAGTCAGCGCCTTAATTTAGTCATCAACCTCGCCCTTTTCTTGGCGTGCTCAACCGGAGAACTCCCTTTCTCTCCGCTTCTGCTCCTCGGTGCGCCGCTCGCGCTCCCCTCCGGCTCTTATGCTTCGCCCCCCTTCTCTATCCTTAGCCGCTCCTGGCTCCAATTGTCCGTCATTCGCTTGGCCCCCGGAGGTGACCCTCGAGGCTTTGGCATCGGACCTCCCCTCCTCTCTTCTTTGCCCCCCCCCCCCCTGCGCGACTGTCCAGGCCGTTGCGCCTCCCGCGAAAAATTCGCGAGAGTCCGGGCCCCCCGCGAGAAAGTCGCGAGAGTCCCGCGACAGATTGGCGTGAATCCTTCGCGCCGTGCACTGTCCTCTGAGGCGCCCCCCGGGCTACCTCGCCCCCGTGGAACCCCCCTGGGCGATTCGCGAGGGCTGTTCCCGCGCGAGACCACCCCGGGCGACTCGTGCAGGAACTGAGCGGCGGAGACCCCCCCGGGCGACTCCACCGCTCGGACCGACCCCCCCCGGGCGAGTCGGCCCGTCCTGGAACCCGCCCGGTTGCCTACGGGAAAAGCCCCCGCCCAAGCTCCCCCTTTTGAGGGAATTTTAGTGAGGGCGATCCGCGCCGTGGCGGCACTCGAACCCCCCGGGCGATCGACCGCGGCAGATCCCCCCCACATTAAAAAACACAAGAAAACACAACAAAACACAAAACAACACAACGCAACGCCCCCCAAAATACCAAACAAACACAAACATGCACCGGACGGAACATTAAAAAACACACATAAACACAAAACACATTCACACGCATACAGAACTTATTAAATTATGGCTCTGGCTTTGCACACCTAACTTTGCATTGTTTTCTGACAGGGACGGCGGGGGTGCCTGCATATTGCCTGCTGCGCGCAGGGCCAGCACCCTTTTCTTCAAAAAACATACAAGGTGCACTCCGAGGCAAAATCTGGATCATGCGCGGGCACCCCGCGATCGTTGTGCATAGGTTTTGGACTCGGACGGTGGGGGTGCTGGCATGTTGGTTGCTGCGTGCAGGCCCACCAAATGCTATGATGGCCACCCGGCCGCGATTGCGCATTCGTTTTCGTCAAGGGCGGTGGGGGCCGACACGCTTCCCGATGTGTACTGCCACTTGCGCAGGCGCACCTGGCACACTCTGCGCGTGCCCCGAACGTGGCGCACCGGGCGCGGCTGGAGCATGCGGCACACACGGCGCACCAGGCGTGTCTGGCGCGCTTGGGCCACAGGGGTGTCTGGCGCACCTGACGCGCATGGCGCACCTCGCCCAGCGCCATTAGCTGTCCATCCAAAAACAACCGCTGAACATGCTGAGGCCCCGGTGCTACTTATGTGTTGGGATGGCGGGTGGGAGTGAGCGAGACAGCTTGCGGGCGGGGAGGGCGTCTTGACCCCTCCCCTCTCCCCCCCTACCCTACCCCCGTACCCCTCCCGTCAGGGAGTGGAACAACGGGAGGCATCGACTCAACTATAACGTTTGTTTTGTCAGTTGGTTCCGTTTTCTCTTGGGACAGCGTCTCACACACGCCGAAGTGTTGGCGGATATTCGTTTAAACCGTGGGGCGGGAGTAGGTCACAGGACAAATGGCCAGACTCCCTTCGGACTCGTCTCATGAGGCGACGTGGACGGATTATTGTATGGAAGAGGGGTGGGGTGGGAAAAGGAGGAGGAGGAGCAAGAGCAGGATGAGGAGGAGGAGGAAAAGAGGAGGAGGAGGAAAAGAGGAGGAGGAGGAGGAGGAGGAGGAGGAAAGGGAGGAGGAGGACGGTAATTGTGAAGAGGAGGATGAGAGTGAGGAGGAGACGGGTGAGACGGAGGATGGAGAGGGAGAGGAACGGTGGTGGTGACGATACGCAGAGTGATGAGGAGGGAGATTAGGATTGGCTTGTGAGAGATATACGGGGAACGCGGAGGAGTAAGAGGATGTTGAGGAGGGGAGTGAAGAGGCGGTGAAAAGGGGGATGGAGGAGAGGTGGAGGAGAATACAGGAAGGGGGGGGCGGGGACGGGGGAGGTAGAGGGATAGGTGGGAGGGAGGGGGAGGGGCGGGAGGGATGGGCACGTGGGGAGCGGGGAGGGGGATGCGGATAGGGGGATCGGGGTAGTGGGAAGGGGGATGCAGGAGGGTGAGGGAATGGGGAATCAATGTTCTTGTGACGTGTGCAGAGTCTCACGTGTCGTCGTGTGGTGTGCAAGCGTTGGCATGGCACCGAGGCAGAGCGTTGGCAATGGTGATGCCCAGTAAGTTGTTCTGGACTGCGACCAGCGCGCGGAATGATACCACCAGTTAGCAGGAACGTACGGCAGGTACGTGTGCGGTCGTTCAAGGTTGAGTGCCGCCAGTGGCCTGGAACCGACCGGCATCGAACTATCCGTGCTGTCAGAAGGCCGCCGCGATCATTCAAGATTGAACGATCCACGCGGTGTCAGAAATTGATGCGCAAGTCGCCACGAAACGAACTTGCCGTATACAGTTTGAGTCAAGGTTTTTAGGCGGACAAACGATGAGTAGACCAATCAAGGAGGCGGACCAATGTCTTTTTTCGTGAGGACGGCAGGCAGGCCCCTCCTCTCCCCCAGGGTTTCCATCCATTGGGGTGTACTGGGTTCTAGCGGGAGGAGGGAGATGAGGAGGGGGAGGAGGACAGTGAGGATGCGGAGGAGGAGGAGGAGGAGGAGGAGGAGGAGGAGGAGGAGGAGGAGAAGGAGGAGGAGGGGTGAAGAGGGAGGTCTGCAATCGGGCCTTCACTAGGGATCGATACGACGGGCACGAACCGAAGCCGAACGAAACGAGGAGGAGGAGGAGGAGGAGGAGGAGGATGAGGAGGAGGAGGAGGAGGAGGAGGAGGAGGAGAAGGAGGATGTGCCGCCCGTTCCCGCGCGGCGGCAGGAGGCCCAGTAGCGGCCAGCGCAGCGAGAACAGTGGCACCCCCGGCAGCCCCAATGGCGGCCGCGCCGCCGACGACGCCGGCGCAGAGGAGATCGGAGGCCGCGGCCGGTCGTCGGATTCCTGGGGCCTCGAAAGCTTCGGCGTCGGTGGGTACCTTCCTGGGGGTCCAGTTCATCCCGTGCCTCCTTCCCTCTCCCTTCTGCTCTCCGTGGCGTGGGCGAGGGGGGTCCTGGTGGAGACGGTGCCTGACCTGGGGGGCTTTCGGCTGGACAGGTTTTTCGTCTCAGGTCGTCTCCTGACGATCTCGGGGCCCAGGGAGTGCTTCGGGAGGCCGAGAGCGGCGGAACTCGGGGCCTTTCTCATCCAGGACCCGTTTTCTGCATGCTGAGTCTTCCATGCCACGTGCTCTTTCCTCTCTGCTCCCTCCTCCCTAGTCCCACGCCCTGACCGGTTCGGGAGGCTGGGCATTGCAGTGCAGGCTTTGCTCACGAACACCGCTTCAATCCCAAAGAAAATTCCACTTCCCCCTTGTCGTCGTCGTCCTGCTCCTCCTCCTCATTCTCCTCGTCCTCGTCCCCCTAGGTAGGCCACTGCGGGCGGGGAGAAAGGCTTCTATCTTCCATGTAGGACACGGAGGACGTCCGTCCAGAGCTTTCAGACCAGCAGCTGCAGGATTGATGCGCGAGATGGGAGCATGTCAAAAGGCAGTGTGCTGCAACCACGAATGCGCGACATGAAACACAAGGTACTGCGGCAACGTGGCAGCATACCAGTTTTCGTGAAAACGTAGCCTGGAAGTCAATTTATGTTGGCCATCGCCAATGTGCGTGCGGTTTGTAGCAACCAGGGATTGTCCGCTGCGTATTTGAGGTTGACATGATGGAACACATTCACAGCACACCCACCACATGGAGCGTGGTGAGTCAGTGACGCCCACCGTGAGGCACTTCACATTACGTTGCGGAGTGCTAGCGACTGTGGAGGCGACTCGAGTGAGACCCAAGTGCCGAGATCTAGACATGCGGTACGCGAGCTTGTGGTCAGAAAGCGCATCTCGAGGTCCGTGGGGGTAAGGCCATACTCTGCGCATCCGTGAATACCATACGCGAGGCAGTCCAACATGGCATGGCCACAAGATATACCAGCAGGAACTCGAAATCATAATCCATGCATCGGCGACGCCACGCCAAACCTATAGAGCTACACGCTCGGTGTTCCAAGGCGTAGGCGCCCAGCTAGCCGAGGAGGGTATCTGCCCCCGTCGCGTCTTCGACCCCGAGGCCGACACACGCCGCTGCTGGGGATGCCTCGGCACCAGGGGCGTCAGCTGCGCTCCGACCTGCTCATGCGGACGGGCTCTCGCGGACGAAAGGGCTTGCCCTGTTTCTGGCTCAGGCGCCTCACGCTGGGCAGCTGGACCCACGTGGGTGTCCTCCCGCGGGCTAGGACGAACTGGCTTCCGTCGGCCGGGCGGTCGCGGAGCGCTTCCGGACCCTCGCACTCCGCGTGTGGCAGGGGCTACGGCTTTCCTCGTAGTGCCGCCTGCGACGTTCGGCGCTCTTCCCTGCAAGGGGGCATGGGTGTCCCGATACCTGGGCGTGACCAGACTGACTTTAGTCAGCGGCTGCAAGAGGGGCAGACGGCGGTCGAGCAGCGGCGGGTCGCGCCGAAGCACAGCGAGGCACAGAGAAAAGGGGGACGCGCCGAGGCGCGAGGCGGCCGGAGAGGCCAGGAGGGCGAGGGAGCTACATTCGGGCAGTGAAAGTCTGCGCGTGCGCGCCGAGGTTGCAGGTCCTTGAAGTACAGGGCGAGCATGAGGGCGGAGCTGAACATGGAGCCCCTGGGGGAGCCGGCAAGGGTGAGGTTGTCGGGCGTGGCCAGACAGTGAACAGGGGGGAAGGCTTGGGCCTTCAGACGTTTCCTTGCACGGGCTCCGCCTCACGAGGTCAGGCTGCAACGTAGCATCGACTCTCAAGCGCATGCGACGTTACATCGCGGACTCCGTCTACGTGGTCAGCGGTCAACGGCCAGCAGCTTCAGGAGGCTCTTGAAGGGGAGGTTTCCCGCCACGCGCATGGACGTCTGGTTCGCCATCAGCGGTTGCCTTGGGCAGCGGGCCGCCTGTCATCGCGGAGCCCGGCGGCGCCCAGCGGTGCCGGGAGATGTGCCCCCCCCCTCTCTGTGCGATCGAAGTGGGGATGGCAAGACTGGGTACGAAGGCCCACAGCAGTTTCGGCCCACTTCGAACAGGATTCATTGTCGTTGTCTCCGCGGGCGCTGTTCATTTGGGCTCAATGTAATCTGCCCAACAGCGGCAGCTGTCGGTCTTGGCCGACATTTGCTGTTGGGCACCGTCCTCATTTGTCCATCCCAATTGTGGGCCTTGCAGTGGCCAGGCAAAAACCAACCAATCTTTATAAGTGGTTGGTTCATGTTGAGGCGATGCTGGAACCAGAGATGCGCCATGGTGCACGCCAGGATCGCTCTCTTTCAGCTGGAGCCACACTTCTCGGCCCACGGTGCAGTGGAGCAGGGCATCGGCCCACATTTTTGCCTGCTCTGGCTGATTCTGCAGACGGTTCCTTCGTCGTAGATGCATGCCAGGTCTCGAACATAGACCGGCCTCTTTCTGTGCTTTGACAGTTGGCCGCATCCTTCAAGGCTAGTGCGGAAGCCGACCGTCATCGCCTGAAGCGTGCTCGAAATCCTGCCCTGGGCAAACGCATTCACAAACGGCTACATCAGTTGGCGGAGCACTCACACAGTAAGTTTACGAGTGTCTCAGCCCCGCTATTCGCCTGCCCGACCTGTGGGTTTAGTGCGTCGCGGGTGAAGCTCGAAGACTTCGTGATACTATCTTCGCGAAGTCATTCAACCACGTGCGTTGGTGCTGTGGGGCCGCCAGTTGCACCACACACCACACCCACCTCGCGCATGCCGCTGGTACAGACACGGTATGGTCCCTGAGTCGTGGGTGCTGCGCGACCGATGCAGCAGTGCGATCCCACGACGCCCCCTGCAAGGAGGTGCGCGCACGGCATGGGCAGCAGATCTTGGCTTGGATTGCGAGCGGCAAGCGTCATGGCTTCACTCGTGCGGCCCGTCAACAGGAAGGAGTTCAGAGGCGCCGTGCCGTCAAGCAAAGCTCCCTCCCCCTCTTCCGTCACCCTGTGGAGCCCTCTCTCCCTCCCCCCTCCCCCGCGCGCGGTAGCGCTGGCACGCGGGGACGGACAGGAACAGAAGGAGGAGGGATGAGCAGGAGGCCGAGGAGGGATCAGGGCGGCACTCTGTTATTCCCTATAAAATGCTTGCACTTAGGGTTTCTTATTCCTCCTCTAAGGAACTCTGTCTGTCTGTCAGTCTGGCGGCTGTGTTGTCGCCGTCGCCATCTCGTTGCCGCCCGTCGCCTAGGCCTGTCTGTGGGCCGCCGCGTTTGTTGTCGCCGTCGCCGCCTCGTCGCCGCCTCGTCGCCGCCTGTTGTCTGGGCCTGCCTTTCGGTCGCCACGCTTGTTGTCGCCGTCGCCGCCCTATAGCTTCGCATTGCTTTGCGTTGCCTTTCATTGCCCTGCTTTGCATTGCTTTGCATTGGTTTGCGTTACGTTGCTTTGGCGACACAGGTTGCACCACAGATATTGCACCACCTAGATGTCACCCAGATCTCATACATATATTGCACCACATATGCTGACCACCGATCTTACACAACCTCGACTGCACACCATAGACTGCACAACCTGTATTGCACCACGAATAATTGTTTCACATAAACTGAACAACACAAATCGCACCACCTAGATTGAACCATCTCGACTGGGCAGCACACAATTTGCAACATATAGTGATCTGCACTTCATACAGTGCACACGTCGGTTGCACCACCTAGGTTGCACCGCCGGTATGGCACATCATACGATGCACACCATGTATTGCACTTCGTATATGGTACATCAAAGACTGTACAGCATGGGTTGCACCACTTTGACTGCTGCACCAATACAGCACCACATATGTCACACCACACGCACACATTTATAGATGGATGTTGCTCATCATAGTTCGCGCCGTGTATATTGCGATTGCGCAACCATTTATTGCACCACCTAGATGGCGCAGCATATCTTGCACCAGCCATATGGCTCCACATGCATTGCACGACATCGATCGTACGCACCACACTGTTTGCATAACATAATGTGGGCACTACATAGTGATCATAATCTATGTGTAAACACATGTATATAAATATATTTGTAGAATGCGCAGCATAATTTGCAGCACATAGGTGGTCCCACACATATTTCACCATACATGGCTAGAGCACACACGCACTGCTTGGGGTCCACGCTGTCTAACATATTACGATATGCGCGGGGTTGCTGCTTGGCAGACCGCTTATTATCACACTGCCCAAATCGGAAACTTGGTGTTTGGAGGCTGTCGCCTCCTGTGGCGCGACTGCACTTCTCGCCCTTCTTTGGAGGGCGCATGGCGTACTCATTTCAGTGCTCGGGGTGACTGAATCGTGCAGCATCCAAAATCCGCCGCACAGTTGGCATTCAAGGACGCCTCGCAGTACAGCGAGCTGGTGGGATGATTGACGTTGATCAGCTAACAGGTGGTCCAGAGCCCCCCCCCACACAACCCAGACGGTCGCTCGGGATCGCCGATATTCTACGTCTCCCCGGCAGGCAAAGACGGAAGGCGCTGCTGGACGAGGCACCTTGGCTTGCATGGACCAGGCCAAACCTCGCATAGCTTGCTTGTCAAGTTAAACCTCTTAGCACGTGCCACATGCGGATCAATGTAGGACTCCCTCTCTCTTGTGGGTCCCGCATCCTGTATCACGCAACTCGCAAACACGCTCAGCATAGTTAGTGATCTGGTTCTGGTATGCTGGGACATCCGTCCACCCCGCTCACGCTCACAAGCAACAATTGCTTCACGCTGCACAGCAGGCAACCGAGGTCAAACCACGGATGACCAAATCACCGGCCTGGTGGGTCCGAGCCACGTCATCACCCGACACTTGCACAAGCAGCAGCCTCAGCGACATAGTCAGCTGCATGGTTTAACCAACTATCGACTGGTGACAACCACATGTTCTGGTTTGGGGTGGGATGTCTTTTAGTCCATGACACGTTTACGGAACCGCCACGCCCCCCCTATCACGCGTTGATATTTAGCCCAGAGATCCAGCATATTAGACTTAGACTTGGCCTTCAGGGACTTGCGGACATCATTGACCACCGTCAGACAGTCACAACAGATCCGTGGATGCCCTGCGGCATCTTCAGAACAATCATACTGGCGTACAACTCTCCACGCGGTGAAGACTGACGGTGGTAGGCAGACAACTACACAACATTGCGTCGAACTGGCCAGCATGACCGAAGTGGGAAGCGGACTCGCGGACCCGCCGCACCTGCGGAGCCGCCAGTCCTTAGAATGCTTGCCACCCGATCCATCGATTCCCCACGTGCTCCCGTCGATCTTCGGACCCCTAACGAAGCGGTCCCACTCCATCACCACCGCCTGTGGTGCAGGCAGGTGGCTACATGAGGCAGCTAGCGGAGCAAGGCCACGATATCATTGGTAGGATCTCTCAGGCTCGACGCGCACGCGCTCAGCCAGGGGATCGGTTCGGTCCACGACCTGATCGGGAATTTGCCGACTGCGATTACAGCCAGAACCGATGTTCAGCAGCCTCCACTGAGGCACCGCACCGTGGGCAAAGGCCGCTCGTCAGCGAACGGTAGCATGCCTTGACTAGACGATCTCCAGTCCTGAAAACCCGCTGTGATGGCACTACTTTGGGATCCCGGCGAGGGATCAGGAGGAGGCAAGAAGGAGGGGAACGCTTTTCTCCTGCTCCATCCTCCCGGTGGTGGTGGTGATGGTCGTCCTTGCCGTCGTCGTCTCTTCCTTTCTTCCCCCTCCTTCCATCAGGAGCGCTCCTTCCCGCTTCTTCCCTTACCCCCCTAACTGCTGACAGGCTCCCATGTTAACCAGCGTCGAAATCAACAAAGAACAATCTCCCCCTCCATTCATCAGGAGCGCTCGCGGTCCATCGCCCGTGACCCGCTGGCGAAGCGGCTGAAGCTCGACCGCCCCGCGCCGCGTGGCAGGGACGCGGGCGGCCAGCAGGCATTTTGCCCGTCGTCGTCGCTCGTCGTTCGCTCGTCGTTCGCTCGTCGCCGCCGTCGTCGGGCGTCGCCGCAGCCGTCGTTGCTCAGAGAAGGCAACGGTACGGATACCGCTGCCCGTTCTTCGGTTTCCCTCTTTTGGGCTTCCTGGGTGGCCCTCGTCGCCACCGTTGGAGTCGCCTCGAGGTCCCGGTCAGAACGCGCCCCAGGAGAGGACTGGGGAGCAGCCGCATCGGTACCTTTGGGTTTCCGCAGCGTTTCTCTGTCTCCGTCTCGTCGTCGGGAGGAGGTGGTGGAGGAGGAGGAGGAGGAGGAGGAGGAGGTGGAGGAGGAGGAGGAGGAGGAGGAGGAGGAGGAGGAGGAGGAGGAGGAGGAGCGGCAGGAGCAGGAGCAGGAGCAGGAGCAGGAGGGAGAGGGACAGGGGGGGTGGATGGGTGGGGGGGTGGGGCAGGAAGAGGAGGATCACAGTAAACCTGCAACACGCCTCAGCGTCCCAAGTTTCCCGCCGTGGATCCTTACACCCAGTTCGACTAATTCGGGACCCCCCCTTTGAAGACGAGAGCCCCACGGGCTTGAAGCCCGTTTTTGAAATGAAGTCATTTATATTTGTTGCAAAGACAAGAAATGACACGGGGATAGTCAGACAGTCAAGAGAAATATCAATCGATATTTCCGCTCTGAAAATTGGCAACCCTCCATCCGTGTGACTGCTCGCGGGCTTGATCTTCTGACCAAAATGATAAGGGGGGCCCGCAAGACCAAAGTCTTGAAACGAAGCAGCCCTTCACCCGTGACGCCATTACACAAGCTTAAGTTGCCGAACATGTAACTTGAAGACGTGCCAAGCGAGAGCAGCCTGCCACCCATCTTTGTAGTGTTGGGCATGCTTGAGGCGAGTGTGCGCGGCGCTGTGGCGAGAGACTCATGTTGAAGTCCACCCGCCCTCCATCTTCGTAGTTGCTGGAAGCGCCTGTTACGACAGTGCGCGGCGGTAGGGCGAGTTCAGTTTTTCGTCATTCACCCGCCCTCCCTACTTGTGTTTGTCGACAGCGCCTGGGACGAATAGGTGCGGTGCTATGGGGATGGCCCCATGTCGACGTCCACCCGCCATCCATCTTCATACTTGTAGGACGAGTCACGATTCAGGCGACACGCCCAGCCCGCCCTACCGAAACGCCTGGTGGTGTGAGGAGGAGGAGGGTGAGGGAGAAGGCAGATGAGAAGTACTGCTCAAGGAAGAGGGAGCAGAGAGGTGAGGAATGGAGGAGGGATGTGATGCTGCTGACGATGATAATGACGATGCGACTGCTGCTAATGATCATTTTAGTGATGATGGGGATGCTGCTGTTGATGAATTTACTGATGATGGAGGTGGTGGCGGTGATGATGATGATGATGATGATGCTGATGATGGTGATGATGATGATGATGATGATGATGATGATGGTGAGGAGGAGGAGGAGGAGGAGGAGGGATGTGGAATTCAGCTCTATGTTGCCCCCCTTCTGTGTTCCAATTTCGTTTCGGAATAATGCTTTCCCCGCACCAGTGCTCTTTGATATCAAGCCGGTTTGAGGCTTCATTGCTTACCGTAGAGATTGACGGGAAACTATTATTTCTTTTGTGTGGTTGCCGCCATTCCGCCGCCGCGTGCACCAGGAGAGGAGAGCGACCCCGTTTCTGCAGTGGTAGCGGAGCTGCCAAACTCCGCGGACGGCGCCATCGAGTGCCGCAGCGAGAAGATGTTCAAGGACAGCGAGGAGCTGCAGCACGACATGGCGCTTATCAGTACGACAGAACAGCAGCAAGACGACATCTCCGACCATAATGTGTTCGAACACACTTATGACGAGATGGCGACCACCTGAAAAGGAAATGAAGGCCAAGGCGCACGTACGCCCGTTAGAAGGCCGATGATGGGTTCGCATGGCGCGGACGGTTTTCTCCTTTAATCCTGCTTTCGCGCGGGGGATGGGATGACCAGAGACACTACGGCCGTGTTCCAGACTCCTTCGGCAAGTATTTGGAGGGAATCTCGACGTGGGACGGAATTGTTATGAGGTGGCGGCGATACAAACAAAACGTGGCCCTGTGGCTGGAGGGAATCAACCCAGACGCGAATTTCTCCCGTGCTGTGAGAGAGGTGAGGTGCCTGACGGGGCTCGCGAAGACGCTGGCCGAGAGCATTGCGATGGGGGCCTGCGTGCTGGAAAGTGGGAATACGACGAGGAGACCGTGGAGTGGACCGACCCAGCCTTGATACAGGGTATCAAGCATTTGATGGAGGTGCCGGGCTCCATCCGCACGGACGAGCAAAGCCGCAAAGGATCAGTCATGACCTGCTTTTGCAAAGTGCTGACGAGGCGACCGGGCGATGAGATGAATGCCTGGGCGATTAGATGCGGCGAAGCAAAATCCCAGCTCGACGAGGAAGAAGTTGGTCTACCAGGTACCGGCAGGCACTGTTGGGTGGTGCCTCATAGACAGGACAGGATTCACCGAAAATCAGAAGAGCATGCTGACGACCGCGGCGGGAGGAGACCTTACCCTGGCGATTGCCGGCTCTGACCAAGATCTACCCGCAGGTGTACATGGCGAACAGATGTCGGACACCGTGGATGCCATGCAACAAGCCGACCGCCAGGCGGGGAACGGCACCAGGAAAAGGACAACACCAATGAGCGGATATTTCGGAAGTTCTGGGAGGCTACTGTCGTTGCGCGCGTGGACGAGCTGGGCGGCTTGTCGGAGGATGAGCTCCAGGCTCGAGGCTTTGGCGGTCGAGTTGGACAGTGATACGGACGGCACGACCCATAATGTAGCCCTGGAGACCGCGCGTGACTATGTCGACAGACAAAATCTGGAACAGCGCTTGACCAGCGAGATTGAGGCCCGGGCTGTTATGCTGGATGGTGGAGAAGGTGCACCAGAGCGGGCCCACGAACATGCGAACCCTTCGAAGGACTCATCAGAGTGAGGGAGAGCAAGAAACGCGTGAAGGAACTGAGAAAGGGTCGAAAGTGCGGGGGGTCAGGCGCTCGGGAACCAGAAGGAGTTGGCAAGGGCGCAGCCGACAAAGAAGATTGCATTCAGAAGGATGCGCGCGCGACCGTGCCACCCGCGTGGTGGATTAGGCCACTGGGCCGGCAACTCCCCCTGTCTCAAGATCGACGAGCGGCGCCAGAAGCATCGGGAGGGAGTCGCTCACCGAGAGGATCGACTAGGAGAACGTCGCCGATTTCATGGAGAATCTGCCCATGGAGTGCTGGCTGCGCGAGTGTGGGGCTCTGGTTGTGGAGAACGCGCTGCTGTCGGAGTCCATCGGCGGGGAGGGCGACGCGGGCGCTGTTCGCTCAGCCTGTAAGCCGACGGTCAGTTGCGATGAGCGGGCAGACAGGTACGAGGACAGATGTTAGAAGTATTTCCCCGAGAAAGACATTGCGGAGGGACCCCTGCTGCGCGCGCGAAGGTTCGGGGGCGGTGAGAAGATGGTGTTCCGAGTGAAGTGGGCCGGACCGGCGTCGATGATCAACGTCGACGTGAGGATCAGGCATGCAGTTCTGGCTGATTCTAAACTGCAGCTGCTTGTCGGCAATGGCGCGCGCAAGGAGCTCAGCCTGATTGCGCATTTCGAGGCGGGCGAAGCGAGCTCTCTGAAGTTGGGGGTCGAACCGACGAGGCTCAGACAAACAACGGTGTCCCGCCAGTCGATCGACGTGATGCCCTGGGCTGGGTGGAGCCGCCAGTGGGCGACGGTTCAGGCGCCGTGGTGGCTTTCAAGCAGGGCGCATGCGAGGCGTTGATGGTGCCGCGAAGTCCCGGGCAGGAGATCTCAGACGAGAATTCCATGGCTGCAAGATGGTGACGGTGAAGGCCTGGGCGAGGGCATGGAGAGCTGGCGGCTCTGCGACGCGTCGTCTGGGAGATATGTCGAGGAAGACAACGAGGGGGGCCGCGCGAGCTGGGGGATGGCAGGCGACGATCAGCATCCCAAAGAACGGGGCGATCAACCACGGGCGTTTCGGGATTGTCCGAGCCCTTCCAGCGCGTCCCCGACGCAGGCTCGAGCTGCCCAGGCGCCGGCAGAGGGCCCGTCGAAGACGAAGGCGATGGCGATCGGGGGGGCCAGCTGGAGCTCATCGACAAAAGGGCTCTGCTGACGAAGTTGCCCAGGTCGAGCCTGGCAGGGGTCGCCCGGGGCGATGCTGGGCGCCGCGGGTAAGTCGAAACACGCTGTGGGCGACGTTCTGACGGGCCCCAGTTTCAGGGCGTTCGCCTGCGAGATGACGCGGCTAGTCAGCGCCCGTGCGCCATCGAACAGGTCGAGGCGGCGGCCGCAGTAGCAAGTCAGATCGACGCAGAAGTGGCGCATCAATCGGAGCGAGATCTGTTGGCCACGGAGATCCCGAACGGACGCTGGGACATCGAGGTGCTGTTCGCGGACCAGGATGGCGAGGGGCATGAGGGGCGCCATCCGGCGAGGGCAAAGGACTGCGCTCCACGGCGAAAGGAGAGCGGGCGCGTGGCATGGCAGGAAGACGCTCGGGCGAAACGCCTGCGCGGGGGCGCGTCGGTGATGCGCGCGAATCGAGGGGGTCGCCGTGGTCCCCCCAGCGGAAGCGGCGGGAGCCAGGCGCGGCCGTCGCCGAGGCCGGGGGCGGCAGAGAAGGCGGGCGCGAAGGCGGGAGTGAAGGAGTTGGTCCGCAGTCAGCTCGGCTTTTGGGCCAGAGATCTGGGGGCGCGCGGGATCAACCAGGCGGAGGCGCTGGGCGTCGTGGGTGGATTTTTGCCCCGGGGGGCCGAGTGCGAGGCCGTCTTGGCGGAGGCGGCGGGCGCGACGTCACGGCTGCGAGAGATTGCTGCGACGAGCGAGGGGGCGCGCCAGTGGGCGAAGAAGCGCGGGCTGTGGATGATGAGGGGCATGCCCATCGTTCTTGGCCAGAACACCAGGGGGCCCTGCGCGAGGTGAGGGGCCTAAGTTGCCGGCGATCGTTTTCCCTT